ACTCGTTTCCCTGTGTATTTTCTTTTTTTGTTTTGTTTGAATTTTGGCTATAATATCCTCATGTACTTTTCTTTCGAAGTCGTGTAGGTTTTGATAGTTGACACGTTGTGTTCTTCCAAAAAAGATATCGGTTGGTTTTTAGTGACGCTAGGTATTGGGTTGTTATATCTGTCGACTGCCATGTTTATAATTTCTTTCAACCATCGTTCTATGTATTCTTATTTCAAACACCTTGCCATTTCCTCGATGGTTGGGTGTACTCTTTCTATGGCCCATTTACTTCATTTTTTTGAATTGGACTCAAGTATATTCTCTATTCGATTCACAAGGTTCTTAGATAGTCTTTGATGACTGGACTGATAAAATTTGGTTCGTTGTCCACAACTATCATTTTTGGTACTGTAAAGTAGTGGACGATCTTTGTCAGTTTTTCTTTCAGATGTATTGCAAACCTGTCTTTGATTTTCAAAAATTTAACAAACTTTGAAAATTTGTTAATACAGGTGATAAACTTTTCTCCTTTGATTTGTATTAAATCAGTGTGTACAATTTCTGCTGGATGTGTTGAAATGGGTGTCTCTTTGAGTTGAGGTTTGTTCGGGTGTCGATCGTATTTGTTAGTGTGGCAGACTTCACACTTGTCAGTGTATTTTTTTACTAAATTTTCCATGCTAGGAAAATAGTATTTTTCCGGTTTTTGTTCCTTCTGTTCCTTACAATTACGGTGGACACCTTTATGTGCATCTTCGATTTTTTTAACTTGTTTTCTTCTAGACCAATATCCTCTACAATTCTTTCAGTAATCCTTACTTTGTAAGACTGGGCAATGTTGATAATTTTTCCTTCAATGTCCTAATCAGTTCGGGTTTGGTGATTGTTGAGAAGCTTACAAAATGTCTGTTGAAATTCGGATGTGGTTCTCCATGAACAACGATTCCATTTCCTACGTTAATTATTACTTTATTTCTGAATGCGTTTAAAAGCCCTTCGCAATGAGGTAACAGATCCGAGCAATTCGGCACTTTGAGCCGTATCCGTCGATGAAAAGTCCTGGGGTTCGTTGTTTTCATCTCCAGTGTTCGTTAAGGAACTTTTTGTGTTTTCATTTCTTAAGATGTTAACGTCTCTTTTTGTCTGTTAGCGCAAGGCTTGTAAACTATTTCATAATTGTATTCTCCAACGTTTTAGTTTAGCGTTGTTATTTCGGTTACTTAGTATGAACGTTAATGGCTGGTGGTCCGTGAGGATCTTAATTTTTTCCCTCCGTAAAGATAGTTGCGTAATTTATCTAGTAACCATACGATTTGCAAATCGAAATATTATACCACAATCAAAAATATTATACCAAATTATAGAAATTTTTATGTTTGGATAGATCGTGAGTAAGTGATTTTTTCGGTCGATCGTTACTTCTACTTCTTTAAATGCATCATCCCCGATGATTCTTTCGAAGCTTTTCAATACTGCTGGGACGAAAAATTCGGTGTTTGTATTATTGCCAATACATTCGAAAAATTTAACTCTAACTCTAATTTAACTCTAATTTTAGTACTTATTTGGATGTCTCCTCACGCTGATTCTATTGCGAATGGTTTTTGAACAGGAAATTCGTTCGATGCTAGTTTGGCTTTGACAAAATTTTTGTTAGCACCTGTGTGAGGAATTTGAGTATTTTTTGGTCTCTGGTTTTATATTCTAGCTACGGTAAGCTGCCATAGAGGCTGCTGTTGTAAAATTTAATTGTTGCTCTTCGTATTCTTCTCCTTGATCTTTCAATTCATCGAAGTCTTCGCAATTTTGAATGTAATCTTCGTATTCTTGTTGCTCTTCTTCCGGTTGCAGATTGTGCAGATTTTGATGTTCAAACGCTGCCCTGTTGTTGTAGTTAATATTTTTTGACATTATTGACCTGTCTCACACACACACAACGAAATGCAGGAAAAAATAAGAAGTCTGGAGCAAAATGGTGCGGAAGAAGTTTTTCGTATAAACACAAGCAAGACTGGTTTAGAATTAATGAAGGAACAACGATCCCTCTGCATATAAATAACAACAACATAGAGGATGCCTCCGAGTTCTGCTACCTGGGTAGTATAGTTACCACAGAGGGGCGTGCTGAAGAAGATATAGAGAACAGATTAAGGCTTGCTAGGGGGGCTTTCGGAAAACTGTTGGCGGTTCAGACGCAGCGTCAGTTAGCAAGGAGCACAAAAATAAGAATCTTTGACGCGTGCGTCAAATCGGTGCTCCTGTACGGCAGCGAAACATGGTTAGTGAGGAAGAGCCGGGAACTATAAGCAATAAAGATCTCTGGGAACTAACAGGGCAGGAACCAGTATACGCCCAGATCAGCAGAAGAAAGTGGGGCTGGATAGGCCACACATTTAGGAAGCCAGTCAGTAGCATTCCGCGAAGGGCCCTTGAATATAATCCGCAGGGTAAAAGGAGAGTAGGCAGACCCAAAGAAACATGGTGCAGATCAGCCGAAAAAGACACATTGTACGAAATAAAAGAAATGGCGCAGAACAGAGTCAGATGGCGAGGCCTTGTAGATGCCCTATGCTCCCAAAGGAAGTAGAAAAGGAAAAAAAAATTGACCTGTCTACATCCATTGGCTTGGGATGAGCCAGTTGCCTGGATGGGAGCTATTATCGTTCAGTTTGGTTTGGTTTTGTGAAAACCTATTCGGTGAATACCCATTGCTTCTAAACGTATTATGCTTATATTGGTAGTTTATTGAGTTAATCTTTATTGAGTTTTAAATATTGGTTTATTTTTTGATAGCTGATTTACAGGAGAAACAATTACGTTGTTGGAATGTTTGGGATGTATTTGTATATTCCGGTAATTTAAGTTTTGGATCTCCAAGCAAGATGAATAGGCTAAGGTCGCTTTGTGGTCGTTGGCCTCTGACGAACACATCGAGAGTTCGGTTGCGATGTGTCTCGCTCAATACAGTGACGGATTTGTGGCCGTAGTATTCTGTTTTAATTTTGTTAACAATGAGCAACAGCTGATGATTTGCTTCGGGATAGAACTCATCGATAGTCTTGTTGTTTTTTGGATATTTGGTGTTCCAAAGTTCTTAAGTTACGTTTATCTGCGTAATGTAATGATAAACATGCCACAATGTCGTATCAGCTATTGTCAAAGATATTATGAGAAATGAGCGCTGAATCTGCTGGCCCTCTAATTTTCTGTCGAATGTGTTGTAGCATAGCACGGTAAATTAATTTTGTCTGTACTATTTCATAGTTTCTCAAGATGTTCTCTTTTTGGCGATTTTAATTTAAATTTATTGGATAATTCACAGAAAGTAACTAATTACAATAATTTTATGTTAATGCTTTTTTTTTATAATTGTAATAAGCATTTAGCAACACGAAATATTTTTAATACATTGATTGATCACTGCTTTACGAATAATTTAAATCAAAAACTAAAATTATCTCATGTAAATATTGATCTTTTTGACCATAATGTTATACCTTTTGAAGTTTTTAAAATAAAAGAAAGTATTACATATGATCACAGTGAACCGTCTAAATATAAAACTACAAAATTGCAACCTACTCGAAATTGCAAACTATACTAAAAAATGAGCCGATTATTCTAAATTCTATTAAAAATTGTTTCTATTAAAAAGAAATTGTTGCAGATTTTATAACAAAAATGCAAATCAAAATCAATAAAGCATCTAAATTTGTTGTACCGTATAAAAATTAAAAAGCTGATAAAGTATGGGTAGATAAGGAATTTTTATCAGTAGTAAAAACAAAACATTATTGGTTCGCAAAATGGAGAAGAGGCTGTACTAATATAAATTTGACACATCAATATAAATTTTATAGTAATGAGGTGACCAAATTAAAGAAGTTAAAAAAAAGGGCTTATTATACTAGAAAATTTGGTGAATGTGAAATAATGCGTCTCAAACTTGAAGTTGCATAAATGAAATAATCTATAATAAAAAAAAAAAACAGATAAGGATTTCGGCTTTCTACAAGGTGTTTCAGACAAAGACATTCAACCAAAATTATGTCATCCAAACGAACATTTTGTAAAAACTGCGGAAAACCTAGCACAAAAGTTCGACCATCAAGTGTTTTATGCGTCAATTATTGTTAAAGATTGCATTCAATTAGAATTTGTCAATAAACGTCAAACTGGTTGTATAATTAAGAATTTGAATAACTCAAAATACATCGACGCATTCGGCATGTCGGCTCATATGTTTAAAATTTGTAAGGAGGAATTGTATGCGCCAATCTCAACTATAATTAATAAATCTATATCTGAAGGCGTTATTCCAGTCTTTCTTAAGGTTGGAAAAGTGATCCAATTTACAATAAAGTTAGGCCAAACCAATGGTTTGTATTTTAGCACTTTTCCCTTCAACAAGTGAAAATTCTGCATTTAATTACAGTCTATGTATACCTATCACACTATTAAAATTATTTTCATTCATATACAAAATATTTCTAGGATTGCATATAGGGTAATTTTCTAGTTTCCGGACACTCACCGGTTTTCGGACACTTTAGTGGTTTTTTTTAAATAATAAGAAAATTTCAAAAGCTACACCAAAAATCCATTAACATTTTTGTTTCGTCTCATTATTTTCCGCCATTTTGTAAAATAATATTTTAATAAACTGTACATTATTAGTCTGAAAGTTGTCTTGAAAGTGAGAAGGTTGAGTAATAAGTGATAAAAGTGCAAATTTTCTAAAAAAAAATAACAAACAAGTTGACGGAAAAAGTAAGTTTTTAAGTTATTTTTTATAAAATTGTGTGATATTATTATATATTTGTGTTGGAAAAACATTCAATTAACTTTTAAAAGGTTTGTTTTTTTTTAAAATGTTAAATATTATTTTTATTATTAATAGTCCGCTTTCTAAAACTAAAAAATTACATGAATTTTAGTTCCCGGACACGATTGTCCGAAGACTGAAAAATTACGAAATTTACAATTTGACAAATCTTTATGCATGATAACTTAAATTTGCATATTTTAAAGTTACTTTCAAATTTTTAGCCTTTAAATTCGTAAAAATTCAGTTTTCGGACGCGAAAAAAACAAATATGGCTACTTGTCCGAAAATTAGTATATATGTAACATAGCACTGTTTATTTTCCGGACAACCTCTTTTTACTATGCTAAAGAAACCTATCTACATTAAATTTTTTCGCCGTCTTACCAATTCGTTTTCAACTTCTTCAGCAAAATGAACGGGGACAAAATTAATCAAAATTCAACAAATAGTCAATCGAATTGTGCGAAAGATACCGGAAATAAAACAGGAGCTGCATTAGAAGATATCCGAAATAATAAAATAAGTATTAGAGCCGCAGCAGAAAAATATGGGATACCCCGCTCAACACTGCATGACAAATTGAAGGGCAAAACCCCAGAAGGTCCCACAACTAGAGGTCCAGATCCTGTTCTCACTAAAGACGAAGAATTACAAATAGCTGAATGGTGTGGAAAACTAAGCAAATGTGGATTCCCACTTAAAGTTGATGATTTGCTTAATACAGTGGAACAAATTTTGAAGCACATTGGACGAGCAAATCCATTCAAAAATGGACGTCCTGGTAGAACATGGCTTCGTGGTTTTTTCAGACGAAATCCAGGGTTATCGTTGAAGGAAGCAGAAAATATCACCAAGGGTCGTGCTGTTGTTACAGAGGAGTATATCAAAAAATGGTTTCAAGATCTTTCAATTTTTCTTGAGAGTATAAGTCAAACTACTTTACTAAATGACCCTAGGTGGATCATAAATGGTGATGAAACGAGCTTCAGTTTGTGCCCAAAAACAGGCAAAGTCATTGCTCCCAAATCATATATAAATGTATACCAAATACAAATGGGGAACGAAAAGGAAACTTTGACAGTGCTTTTCGTTTGCACAGCTCAAAGAATAAACTCGAGTTAATTCTCGAAAAATATGTGCTTTCTATAAACACAATTTTTTACTTATATTATTAAAAACCTAAGAGAAATTCTTGTTGTCCGGAAACTAAAATTTTCCTGTCCGAATAATAGAATTTTATGTCTGGAAACTGGAAAATTTGACACTTTTTTTTTAAACCTAAATATTTTATATACCATTCACAAAAATGTCATCAACCTGAGCTTTTTTACATAGTAAATTTGGTAAAGTTTAAGAAAAATGTGATTTTACAACCGCACATCTTATTTTGGCAGAGTGACAACCTTCCAAAGTCAAAAAAAAGTTATTCGTCCGAAAACTGGAAAATCACTCTATTTAGAATGAACGATTTATGCAGTCTTTGAAATAAAGCAAAATTTAATATAAAATGGGGTTAACATAATGCTCGATTATAAGGTTCCATTGCGTCAGTTAAGAAAAATAATTATATTTTTTAATGTCATGGAATTTACCGTTAGCTTTTTGCGTTTACAGAAATTTGAAAAAGCTTGCGCTTTCGGAAATATAAGGTGTCAAAAATTCAAATTTTACAAATTTCAAGAGGCGATAACTTGAGAGGGGGTGGAGATGGAAAAAAAATTTTCTTCTAACGAAATGAAATATTGATTAATGTCTAAAACCCCCTTAAATTTCAAGCTTCTGCAGGCTGGGGTCTAGAAGAAAAACGACATCAAAAATTTGAAAAAAAAAGGACTTTAGATAACGGTTAATTTGAACGGTCATTTTATTTTTCTAAAATTTAACTATAGTATATCGCGCTAAGGGAAGCAAGCCGCTGCATTTATGCGTTTGCAAAATTTCAAAAATGCTTATGGTTTCATTGCAACAAATAATTAAAAAAGGCTTTTAGGGTTTTGAGGGGTATAACTTCTAGAGGGGAGAGATAGGTAAAAATTTTGTTCTACGGAAATAAATTTCTAGTAAAGATCTATGTACGTATTAAATTTCAGCTTTCTATCTTCAAAAGTGTAGAAGTTTTGTAAACAAAAAAGTGTCCACGGGCGGACGGACGGACAGAGGACGGAAAACTAATAAGCACTTTTCTTCAAAAAATATTTGGAAACGTGCAAAAATTGAAGATAAAACCAATTTCAATAATTACAGGCCAATATGTCTTGAACTCATCTTGGCCAAAATAGTTGAAAAATTAGTTTAGCAGCAAGTACTATCACTTGTAGTGAAGAACAGGGCACTTAGCAACAGACAATATGGTTTTAGAACAAGGTCTAGCACTGAAACTGTTATTATTGATATGGTTTCTTGTGTTCAAAACCTCAAAGAAAGCAAAAAGATGGTGTCTTTAATATTTATAGACTTATCAAAGGCTTTTGATTCTGTTGATCATTCAATATTATTAAAACAATTGTACAGTCTGGGTATTAGAGGATTAGCGTATACATGGTTTCAATCCTACCTGAGTTCACAGTTTGTTCAAATCAATGACAAGAAAAGCAGTGAAATTAACATTCATCAGGGTAGCATGCTTGAACCACTTTTGTTCTTAATTTACATAGAAAACCTGCATAAGTGTAATATAGAAGCTGAAATGTCCCTATTCGCTGATGATATATGCTTAGTTTTTGAGGATGTTAACTATGAATTACTGCAAATTAAAATAAGTAAGGAGATTAAGAAGATTGAAGAATGGATTCGACTTCATAAGCTCACTATTAATGCTAATAAAAGTAAATTTATGTTGATTCGCAAAAATACACTTGCGTTAAACATAAATTTATCTAATATCACATTAGAAAAAGTTCCGAAATACAAGTATCTGGGCCTGTGGATTGACGACAATTTGAAATGGAATATACAAAAAGATGAATTAAAAAAAAAATTATCATCGATTGCAGGAGTATTTTATAAAGTTTCAAATTAATTACCTGATAATGTGAAGAGATCAGTATATTATGCTTTATTCAACAGCCATCTCAGTTACGGCATTAAATTATGGATATTATGCAAATAGTTCAAAATAGAGCAATCAAAAATTTATTTAATTATTAATATAAATATTAATTGGAGGGAAAGAACTGAGTTCATACACAGACAAAATTGTTTCGTACTTATTAATATTTTATTGACTTAAAATTAGTTCTCCATATACATGATACTGCTAATGATAACATCAATACAATATCTGAGGTAACGCAGAGGAAAAATATTCACAATATTAACACGAGAAATAAAAATATACTGCATACCAATAAAATAAGAAGTTTTGACAACTTAAATATTTGTGTGTCGTATTGATTTAAAATTAATTTTCTACGCTCATGTTCATTTATATAATTGACAAACCCAATTTTATAATACGGACCATGTATCGTTTTATAAATTGAAAATGTAGGTAAATGAAGAAAAAAAGCTAATTATATTTAAGGTAGTTTTTCAGTCAATGATTTTGTGCGGCGCACCTGTTTAGGGCAAATGCGTCAACACTTTCATTAAAAGGCTTCAGGTTATGCAAAAAAAAATTTTAAAAAAGAAAAATAAATCTCCGCTTCGCTAACCTATCCTGTCCCAACATAATAGAGATGACATATTATTAGATTTGTGAATTAATAGTTTCATGCAGAAATTTACAAGTTCTAAAAATTTTCTGGTTAAGTAAATATCAACTAATTTTTTAAAAGTGTAGGTTAAATTTTACTAATTTAACTTTAAATTTATAAAAATAAATTTAAACTAAATTGTTTACAGTTTCTTTCTAATTTGCTATATAATAACTATAATGCTGCCTTGATTACTTTTTTCAAAAGCCGTTCATCACTATGAAACTTTGTTGTTATATTTTTCTCTATATTTATTTATAAATTTTTTTTTGACAGAAGTGTTAAGGAAAATCAAAATTTTCATTAAAATCAACATCAAGAAAATTGTTCAAAAAAATCACTGAGAATTGAAATTTTTTTTTTTGGAATAGTCTTAAATAGTTTCGTTTACGATTCGTCATCAACTACTTGAGTTTATTGTCCACACTTATATGTGATTGAAGTATTTTTTTATCAACAACAGGTATAGTTGACTGTTACACGTCAGTTAACGCCTTCCAAACGGAAATTTAAAACATACATAGCCATCGTTAAAACATGTTTTTGCAAGCGCTTGAGCATTACCGTACTTTAATGTTCGAATCTTTTAAAAACAAATAAAAATGTTTCAGCCAGCCTATACAGATATGAATTGTAAATATATCTTGACAATCTGATTACAAAATCAAATCCTAATGAACTAGCTGAAGAAAATTTTTGACATGTATAAATTATAAGTTGGCAGTTCTTTACCGAATTTCCTGGTGTCACCCCAACCTTTACCGAATTCCTACCGAATTTTCTGGTGCTACCCGGCTACCCGGAAATACTAAGACATACCACTAAAACTTGTAAAATGTATCTGAACTGCAATTGGACAATTAGCTGCAACCCTTCATACAACTTAAAAAGCTTTATGACTTCAAATATTTGAAACTAGTCCTTAGGCATTTATCCAAAACTGCTAAGCTATTTCATGGAAACTTCTGAGACATACCTGAACTGTCATTTAACAAATGACTTTCATTAGGTTTATTAGTTTTTGAAGTATTTAAAATAATCTTCTTGAGTGGCATAGCAACTAACCGTGATTCGAATTGTTTCCATAAAGTCAGCAACAGTCCTTGGCAGAAATAAAAAAACAATCTTTGAAAGTTTTGTGATATTTGCTTTTTCTTGGATTATTGTATGAAGGAACAAAGGCCCTTATGAAAATCAACCCAGAATCTTACGGCTAGCGAGAATATATGTTTAAATGTTTATACAACAGAAAACTGTTTCAAGTGATTACGAATTTCATGAAGAATTATTTGTCTAGTAAAAACCATTGTTCCAATTCTTTCAATCTAATTAGGTTAAATGTTCATATTTTATGTACATATATTTTAAATGTAAACTTCTTATTTTAAATGTAACTTCTTTTTAGCGATTTAATCATTTTTGGCACTTTTAATAAAAATTTTTGAAAAAAAAATCATTAGTTTCACTCCGTGCATCCGTCCGTGGACATGTTTTTAAAACTTCTACATCGTAGAAGAAAACTTTCACCTAACGCCCCCCTCTAGAAGTTTTCCCCCCGAAAATCCTAAAAATGCCATTTTTAGCACTTTTCCAAAAATTTTTTGAAAAAAAGTGCTTGTTAGTTTCACTCTGTCCGTCCGTCCGCCCGTCCGTTAGTCCGTCCGTCCGTCCGTGGACACTTTTTTTGTTTACAAAACTTCTGCACCCTTGAAGATAGAAAGCTGAAATTTAATACGTACATAGATCTTTACTAGAAACTTATTTCCGTAGAACAAAATTTTTACCTATCTCCCCACCTCTAGAAGTTATACCCCCCAAAACCCTTAAAATGGTCTTACATAACTATTTGTTGCAATGAAACCATAAATGCAGCGGCTTGCTTCCCCTAGCGCGTTATAATATATTTAAATTTTAGAAAAACAAAATGGCCGTTCAAATTTACCGTTGTCTAAAGTCCTTTATTTCCAAATTTTTGATGTAGTTTTTCTTCTAGACCCCAGCCTGTAGAAGCTTGAAATTTAAGGGGGTTTTAGACATTAATCAATAGTTTATTTCGTTAGAAGAATTTTTTTCCATCTTCACCCCTTCTCAAGTTATCGCCTCTTGAAATTTGTAAAATTTGAATTTTTGACACCTTATATTTCCGAAACCGCAAGCTTTTTCAAATTTCTATAAACACAAAAAGCTCTAGATGACTCTATCAATGTGGGTATTCCAGGAGAGGCGAATATATAGCATTACCTCCAGGTACTTGACCTCCCTAGAGTAACCAATACGTTCACCAAACGGAGTTGGGCTCGCTAATTTGTTGGCCTGCTTCTCTGTTTGATGAATGTAAATTGCTTTTGCTGGGATTTATATTTAACCCAAGCATCTGTACCACAATAGTGTTCTTAAATTTGTCCCGCATGACGATGGCCACATCGC